GCAATGAAGAGCTCTTAGATAAGAAACACAGAGCTAGATTAAGCTGTGCGTGTTGAGCATGTCCATACTGGTGCTGGTCTGAGCTAGTGACTCACCGGGGCAGCGTGAGCTCAGGTTTTAGGTGAGCTTTGAGGCTGACCTCTTTCCTTCTCTGGTATGGAAAAACAGGCTGGACTATAGCACACTCCTGAAATACTTTAGGGCTAATTTTGTGCAGAGCGGACTGGGAACGGTGGTCCAGAACCCTCTATAACTGTTTCTTCTCAAAACACACAGCAACAAGTTTTACGAGGCTCATTCCAGTTTGTAGCCAAAGTTTTTTGACTTTCTGGCATCTTCCCCATAATGTTGGCCTTGGGTAATAGGGATGTCGAATAGTAAAGGGGAGATTTCAGAACTGCAGGGCCTTTTTCCAAGACAGGATTAGTTTTAGTGTTACAGGAGCAACTGATACAGTTCCTTAGAAAGCAGACATCTTTGCTAGCCCAAGAACACCAAAAAAATCAACTTTTAAAGGTGTTTCCTTCTCTCTCGCTTCTTTACTGCATATAATGAATGTATAATTTTACAAAACATCATTTCTGACAGACATAAATATCCTAGAGCATGAGACCTCTTCCAACTAGCGCATCACAACTGCTAAGAGGGTTTAGCCGCTCTGTACGCTGTTTGGACAACATGAGCTCGTGCTGACATAGGGCTGTGTCAGACAAACTGTGAATATTTGAGAGAGAGTCACCAAAATTGGCAGGGGGATTTAGATCACCTTCTCAAGATGTTCCCCCTCCCCATACAGTCAATAGAGAGATGGACCCCAAGCAAAACACCTGCCTCCTTCTGTGGGATAAGGCTACCTTTGTGTTAGGAAATTCAGTGTGCCTGGCACTGTAATGTGATGATCCAGGCAGTTAAGTTGCTAGTACTTTCCCAAACCTTTGTTAGGCTTGCTTCAGGAGTTAGCATATTCCATGGGCAGTTCCCAAGAGGCAGTTTTCCCTCACTCATCTGTGGTGGAGCCTAGGAGATTTAGGAACCTTACGCTACCTCTATACTGAGGCAACCAGCACAGAGCAGCCCTTGTCTATTCTATTACCCGCTTTTTACAGTTTATGTGTTGCCTAAATGCGAAAAATAATAGGCACTGAAATCAGCTTGCCACATCGGACCTAGCTTTAGTAACTGGTCCACATTTCTTTCCTCCTTTCATTGCCTCTGGAGGCTCTGGATAGCAGATATGCAGAACTGAGCGCACAGGGTGTTTGAGTGTGGTCATAGCAAAGAGTAGCTGGGTCCGTCTAAGTTGTGGTAGGACACCATTCGAACGTGGCCCATGCTCACTCTTGCTCTAAGGGACTGGGTCTCGTGTAATAGCTGATGATGTGAAATCAAGCACATTTGCCTAAAAAGGATTTCAAGATATTCAGCAAATCCCTGTGTTGTTCTAGTTCTCCACTCATCTGGGGTCTATAATTCGTTTGTCAGCCCTGAAAAGTATTTCAAGATCAATAGCTTTTAACTGTGCATTTCCGGAGAAGATCTTGGCTGAGTTATTGCAGAGCTGTTACACATGGTATGTCAGTATGCATTGCCCAAGAGCGG